GTTTTGGGGGGAAATGCCTGAAGCGCTGGGGAATGTTCAAGGCCCTCTTTCCCCTCTGGGGATGGGTGAGCATCTTTCCAGTGCCTGGGAGGCTCTGGGCATCCGGGCTGGAGCAGCTCCCGGTCCTTTGCCGGGGCTCGGTGCGATCGTGCTCGAGGACAGCGGAGCTCTGCTGGGGCAGCAGCCCCGGCTCTTGCCGCCTCTCCTCTGGCTGATGGAGGGGAAACTGAGGCACGGAGCAGTGCTGTAGCCAGTTGCAAGCCCTTTCTCTCGGGATTCCTGCCCTGTGATGGAGGCTGCCCTGCTCGCCTGCCCAGCTGTCCCTCACGCACCGCACATCCCTCTCTCCCCGCTTTCTCCTTGCGGTTCCTTGGACTGTGCTGAGGACCAAACCAGCTCCAGGTTGCAATGGCAGGACCCTGCATCCCCAGAGACACCGAGGGGAGGATCCCGTCCCATTTTCCAGCCCCGCCGGTGCAGTCGGTGCGTTCCCCTCCCCGCAGCCCTGTTGTGCAAGCTCCCGTCCGTGCCTTATAAGTCGCGGCTCCGGGGCAGCGCAGCCTCGCCGCATTCCAGCGCTCTGGCGTCAAGTGGCCCTGGCGGCATCACAACCACCAGCACCGGGCTCTGTGTCCCCTCAGGCCTCCCCGATAGCAGGCAGGCACCCCGCTGGGAAAAGCTGTGGTCCGTGTCCCTGTGGTCCGTGTCCCTGAGCTCCTGGCAGCAGAATGGGAAGTGCCCTTAGGATGCTATGGCAGAGCTTTGTCCCCGTCCTCAGCAGGGTGGCACGGGCTGGTGGCACAGGAAGAAGGCTCAGTGGACATGTTGGTGTGAACTAGTGGGAAATGGTTTTTCCTAGTTTCTAGGAAAAGCTGGTGTGAGACTGGAGTGGCTTCCTGGAGAGGGGAAGTGTCCAACAGCACAATGTGGGGGAGGCATTAGAGCACATTCCTGCCCTGCAAGGGATGGCTGGGGGTCTGTTGGGGTCTCTGTGGAGCTCATGCTGAAGTGCAAGCGCTGAGGTGTTGGAGGCAGGTAGCAAGCCAGGGAACAGTGGCATTGTCCCCTCTGCCCAGGCGTGGGGTGGCCTTGGTGTGGTGCCTTAAACACACCTGTGCTCGGGTGTCTCTGAGCCACTGCTGTGCTGCAAGTATGGATCCAGGACCAGGCCAGTTCTGGGGGGCTGGAGTAGCCCCAGCTGTGCTGTGGGTGATGCAGTTAAAGGGCTGATCTCTCCAGAGGGGAGGGTTGGCCTTGCTGGCTCCAGGAGGGGGATTTAGAGCAGTGCTCTAACAGAAAAACCCCAATCACTGCACCCTCAGGGTACCTGTGCCCTGGCACCAGACACTTCTGACATTACTCAACCCTTTTGGGGCTGCAGGGCAGCTCAGAACTCTCTTTTGAGAGCTCTTACTGCAAAGCAGCTGTGGCCAGGAGCTGTGGGAGCTGTGCTGGGGCTGTGGCAGCACAGGTGCTGCTGCTTCCCTCCCTTGCAGCCTTGGTGTGTGCTGGCGCAAGGTGTGTGTCCCTTGTGCAGGGGCTGACACTGAGAACTCCAGGGTGAATGGTTTGTCCTGTCCCTCCTCCCCCTGCGTGGGAAGCTGTGCTGGGATCCTCCCTCTCTGGCATGGCCTGGATGGTCCTGTCCCTCCTGGCATGAATGCTGTTTTCCATGGCTCTCCTCCATCTCTATCAGGTGTTTGGGCTGGGGACATCCCCCGAGGGGAAGGGAGAATGTTTTCTGCAGGGCCTGCAGCAGGGTGACCCTGCTGGGCTGTCCCAGGTGAGAGCTGCTCCCTGTCCTGCTTCCCCTGTGTGCCCAGTGCAGAGCCGTGGGTGGGATGTGACTGCTCTCACCTGGCATCACAGCCTAAGGATCAGCAGAAGAACGTGGCATTCCTGGAGATCTGCTCCTGCTGGATGTCTGCACGTGTAGTTTGGCCCAGGCAGTTCCTGGTCCAGCCCTGGATGGATATTTTTGATGGTGGTTTTGTTTGGTTTGGTGGCTTTTGTCCTGTGCCTTTTCCAGATGCACTGTGGGGAGGCTGGATTTGGTGTTGGGTGGCAGGGACCTGAAGCAGGGCATGTTTTAGCAGAAGTTATCCTGTTGTGGCATGCTGGATTTGTCAGCCCAGGGTGGTACCACTGGGCTCTCAAAGCCTGCAGCACTTGGGCTGTAGGAGAGTCCCACTTTGGTTAATCCACTGGAAGATGCTTGTCTGGACCCCATTGCCCTCATCTACAGCTTCCTCTCTTTTGGGAGCAGGGGAAGAAGCTGGAGCAGGTTGCCCACAGTGCACAGGAGGCTCAGACTGGTGAGCTGCCTCCTGTGGGGTAACCTAAATCTCCTTTGCTTTATTCCTGCTGTTGGAAGTGAGCTCCCTCTGGCTTTGCTCACTCTGTCCCTTGAGAATATTGCTCAGGTCTCCCACCAGCCTCACCCTCCCTTCACTGAATAACTTGGTCTCCCTCTTTCCTTACCCTTCTGTAGATCCCTTATGGATGTGCTGAATTGCAGAGATAAAACCAGCTCCTTGGTCTTGTTGCTTCCAACAAGCCATTCTGAGCAGGGCCTTCCTTGGTTTGCCTTGAGCCCCTCTTTGGAGAGGCTGGCTGGTGGCATTTGGAATTGCCCAGGCTTTGGGGCAGTGGTAGCCCTTGCTGGGTGCTGTGGCTTGGCTTTCCAAAGCCTTTTCAATGCTGTGGATGGTGACAAACAGGACTTGGAGGCCAAGGGAAACCTCTGGGTGGCGAGAGATTTCTTGCTCCTGTCCTTGGCAGCATCTTATGGGGCTGGCACTGGGAGGCTATTCCCTCTGACAAAGAGCTTTCCTGGGCTGTGTTCAGGCTGATGTGAGGGCCCCAGCTCTGGCTCCCCCTTCCCTGAGCCACCACCATCTCCCGTCCTGTCACGCCTGTCGCAAGGAGTTACCCAGTGACGCATCACGGGGCCATTTACAGACCCAACAGGGATGTGGATTTCATCTGCTCGGAAGGAAAAATCCATTCTGGGGGCTGAGCGCACTTGGATCCTGAAATATTGAAAAGGGACAATGCTTTCACATGGCTGAGGCACATGTGTGCCACCACACTCTGCAGTCCTCCCTGCCTGAGATGGCTGTGGGTCTGTTGGGAACGCTCTGCGGAGCTCGCGCTGAGGTCTTTGAGGCAGGCAGCAAGCCAGGGAGCAGTGGCATTGTCCCCTCTGTCCAGGCATGGGGTGGCCTTGGAGCAGTGCCTTAAAGCATCAGATGTGGGGTGGGATGGTTGGGGAGCCTGTCAGACTGAGCCTGGGCTTGGAAAGTGTTCCTGAGTGCTCCACGTGGCATCCTGCTTCCCAAGGCAGGGCTAAGCAGGAGTGTGTGCTAGAGGCATCCATATTGAAGGGTGAGGGGATGGGAAGGGTGCTCTGGTTCTGCTCCTGAGCTGTGCTGGGCCACAGAAGGCTCCTCACACTAATGGGGGACAGTGGCAGCTCTTATTCTCAGCATGCACAGGGGAGCAGGAGCACCCCAAGCCTTTCACAATCACTGTTCATCCTGAGGGGCTTTACCCTGGGAATGGGATTTGTCTGCCTTGGCACAGGAGCTCAAGGAGGTGAGTTACCATCTGAAAGCAAGAGAAACTTCCCTGTGTGGTGGAGTCTCTATCTGGCTGCCCCCAAAGAATTACAGAGGCAGGGGCTCCTGTGTTTCCAGGTCTGCCTCCAGCCCAGGAGCAGGGCAAGCACATGCTTGGTAAAAGTGGTTTTGGATACAGCCCACTCTGCCTGGAGAAAGGAAATGGCTGAGCAAAACAAAAAGGGAGCAGAGCCCTTCTGCCCTGCAAACATAATGGGGTCAGTCTGAGCTGGAAGCAGGCCAGGAGATGAACTCTGGCCTGGGGTTCCTGCTCCTTGTTCATATTGACAAGTGTTCAAAGTGTCTTCGTGACTTTGGTTGTGCATAACTTCCAGCTTTGTGCTGATTTTAAAAAGCCTCTGCAGCTCCATCATGCTGCTTCCTATGGGAATGGTGCAGGGAGAAGGTGCTCGTGGTGAGCCTGACTGCTGAGCAGGGTTCTCCCAGGCCCTGAGCCTTCAGCAGTTTCTCTTCCTGGTTATTCAAGTGAACTATTATCTATAACTTTAATGGATTATCTATTGAAACCCTCCTCTGGCACTGTGTTTTTTTGCTTTGACATGAGTGTGTTTGGACTTGGTCCATGACTTGAACAGCCTGGGAAGAGCAGATGGCCACAGGGGTTTGACCCAGCACAGCTGCTCTTGGCTGGGCACAGCAGAAGAACTGCTCTGAGAGGGGGTTTGGGAGCAGCTCCTGAAGGGTCTGAGGTGTGCTAGGGAGGAGCTGGGATGGACCCAAAAATCTTCCTGCAGTCATGTTCTGGGGCTGCTGCAGAAGTCAAAAGGGGCAGTGAAGTGTTTCTCAAAATTGAGGGCTGCCTTTGAATTGGTGATGGAATTAAAGTGGGTGGGTTGAGGAGAGGAGATCCAGTGTGGGATCTGGAGAAAGATCTGGAGAGAACTGGGGTTTGTTCTGGTCCCTTTGGACCTTTGGGATGTGCCAAACTTGGTTCTTGTGGCAGTGTGTGGTCTTTGCCAGTTTAGCCATCGTGCCCTGTCAGGCTGTGGGGCTGCTGTCCTTGCCTTCATCAACCCAGGCCACGGTGCCAGGGACTGAATTTTTGTAAAGGCATCAATCCTTTGAGCTGGAGATCAAAGGGCTGGGTGTGTTTTATCCTGGCCAACACTCCCTAATGCAGGGAAGGGTTAGTGGACCTTCGATGCAGGGTGTCCTGTTCTTAGTGCACTTCTGAGCTGGCTCTGTGCTCCTGCTTGGGCACCAAGCATCTCCTGTCAGTACAGCTGCTTGGGCACCAAACCTCACCAAACATCTCAGTACAGCTGCTTGGGCACCAAACATCACTGAACATCTCAGTACAGCTACTTGGGCACCAAACATCACCAAACATCTCAGTACAGCTGCTTGGCCTCTCCCCAGGTACGGACGCTGTTTGTCAGTGGCCTTCCTGTGGATATCAAACCCAGAGAGCTCTACCTTCTCTTCCGACCTTTCAAGGTAAGGAGATCTTCAGATCTGGCTTTTGGAGGGAAAGATGCTGGTTTGTGGGTGACCTGGCACCAAAGCTCTGTCAGGGGAAGTAGGGATGATATGGGAACCTGAAGCCAGCATGGGATCCATAACTTGTGCTCAGCTGGAGCCTGCCATTGGAATTGTGCTGCTTGGTCAGCCCTGCTGCTCAGCTGGACCAGCCCTTCCTTGAGGATGTGTCCTCATCCCCCAGACCCTCCATTCTCCTCCAATAACCACCCAGGCTGTCTCAGGGCACGTGGGGTTCCCTTCTCTGCACTCCTCTAGCACAGGGAGGGTGCTCTGCTTTCTCTAGACGCTAGCCAGGGCAGGGTGCTCATCTGGATAAAGATCTAGAAAATTGAATTCTTCCCCAAAGGGCCAGGATGGAAGAGCCAAAATCCCTGCTCTGTCCCCAGTCTTCCCTACTGGTGGGAAAGAAGTGTTACTGTCCCTGTTTCTGCTCTGTCCCCTGCCCTGGGGAGGGCTGGGTGCTGCAGGAGCTCCTGGAGCTGTCGTGTTGTGTCTTGGTTTAGCATGGCCTCCTCAGGAGCCTGACGCTGACTTGTCTCTTCTCTCCTGCAGGGTTATGAGGGGTCACTGATCAAGCTGACTTCAAAGCAGGTACCTCCTTCCAGCCTGGGTATTTTTGGCTTTTGCTGTTAAACTGGACATGCCAGGAGGGGAGAGGGGACAGATCCCGTTCCAGTGTGTAATGCACTGTCTGGGCCAGCATCAGCCACACTGAGGGGTTCTACTGACCCAGCATGTCCTGAATGTCTCCTCCTGCTGCCCTGGGTGAGCCCTGAGGCTTCAGCCCCAAGCCTTGTGCGGCCATCAGCCTTCCCCTCTGCCGTGCTGGGGGCTTGTCAGGGTGAGCAATGTCCCCACATGTAATAACACCAAAACATTTGTGGTGGGAGCAGATCAGAGCAGGAATCTTGAGCCAATGCCCCAAGCTCTGCTTAAAGCTCTTGAGCAGCTTAGGATGGTCTTTTGTGCTGGTTGTGTGGGGCAGAGGGGTGGCAAGGCAGCCTGAGGAGCTGGAAGATTTTCCAAACTGAAATGGGTGTTGTTTCTTTTAGCCAAAGTGAAATGGGTGTTGTTTCTTTTGGCCAAAGTGAAATGGGTGCTGTTTCTTTTGGCCAAAGTGAAATGGGTGCTGTTTCTTTTGGCCAAAGTGAAATGGGTGCTGTTTCTTTTGGCCAAACTGAAATGGGTACTGTTTCTTTTAGCCAGTGGGTTTTGTGACCTTCGACAGCCGGGCTGGCGCTGAAGCAGCCAAGAACGCCTTGAATGTGAGTACCCAAAGTGCTGGGGGCTGCAGGGCTGGGGCCACGTGCCTTGCTGGGCCCAGAGTGAGGGCAGAGACAGGGCAGGGCATCTACCAGTGTGCCTGGACTGTGGAAGTGAAATGGTCCTGCAGCATCCCAGCAGGGAGGCAGGAGAGCTGCTCAAGGCTGACATCAGCCTGGGCAAATGGATGCAAGCTGTCTCTGTGTAGTTTTTGACCACTGGAAGACAGCTCTGAGGGTGTGGAGACCTGCTGTGACTCAAGAAAATATGGTGAGGGTGGTCAGCATGGAAAGGACACCCAAAATGATCCCCATCCTGCAGGAGTGTTGGTGGGATCTGGTCAGCAAGACACAGTTCTGCTGTGCTTTGTGACACCTGCTAGTGTCTCTGCTCAGGCTGGCAGAAGGTGTAGATGGGAGCTCCCACACAGATGGGGTTATTTCAATGCCAGTATAGACAGTTACCCCAGCTTCAGCTCACAGACCTTTCCTGAGCCATGCTGATATCCATCCCTGCTGTAGTGGTTGGCGAACTGCACATAAGGAGCAGAACTGTGTCCCTCATGTTGGAAATAGTGGTCTAATGTTAGGCCAGCTAAAAGTAAAAATAAAAGCACATGGGAATTTGAGTGTTGCAGTGAGGTGACAGAAACCTGGGCATGTGACTGCAGAGTGGTGGCCTTGGTTCCTCAGCTGGCTTTTGCTCCATGAGTAACCACGGCCTGTGCTTGGGCTGGAGCTCCAGCTCTGAAAGGGCCCTGTGCTCTCTCTGTGACAGGGCATCCGCTTCGACCCCGAGAACCCGCAGACCTTGCGGTTAGAGTTCGCCAAAGCCAACACCAAGATGGCCAAGAGCAAGCTGATGGCCACCCCGAACCCCACCAACATCCACCCTGCCCTGGGTGCGCACTTCATTGCACGGGACCCCTGTGAGTATGCTGGGAGGGGCTGGGGGCTTGTGGCTCCAACTCTGAGAATGGAGAGGAGCCCAGACCCACCTCTGAAATCTGCCAGGGCAGGGAGGCCAGCAGGATGTTGGAGCCGCAGGACAGTAACAGGCATCTGGACAACACAGAACTGTTGAGACATGAAAGTTGCATTTGGTAGCTCAAGTGATACCATAAATCTTTTAAAGCGTCCCTAAATGTGAAGCATAAAGGGTGAGTCCTGTGCCATCACCCTCTGCGTAGCCTGGTGGGCTAAGTAGCCCTGCTGAGGCTTATGGGGTGAGCTGTAATGTGGCTCTGAGCCCCCTGGCCTGCATCCTGTGGCTGCTGTGTGGACCAGTGTCCAGAGCCCACGTGGGGCTGTAATGTGACCCATTCCTGGGTTCTCCTGTCGAGGCTGAGGCTGGAGGAGCAGCTTGCACGCAGATTTTACACCTGATTAAGGTGGCAGAGCAAAGCTTTAGCCTGGGGTGGGTAATCCGGAGCCGGCTGTCCGCAAAGCAGGACAGTCCTGGGACGCTGTCCCCTGTCTCCCCCTCCTTAGATGACCTGACTGGAGCGGCTCTCATCCCGGCGTCCCCGGAGGCGTGGGCTCCCTACCCGCTGTACACCACGGAGCTGACCCCGGCCATCCCCCACGCCGCCTTCACGTACCCGGCAGCGGCAGCCGCGGCCGCCGCTCTGCACGCTCAGGTGAGTCTGTCCCCGTCCCGAGCGGGGCTGGTCCCTCCCGTGTCCCCGCCATCCCCGCGGGCCGCGCTTGGCCGCCCCCGCCCTGCCCTCTGCACCTTGGCTCCGCCGCAGGGCAGCCCGGGGAGCGCTCTGCAGGGAGGGCAGGCAGGGCTGGCTGGGGATCCCTGACCCCGCACTCAGGGCTCCGTTTCTGGCTGCTCCTGTTGGTCCCCATGGCCAGAGAGCTCCGCTGGGGGAGTGCTGGGAGGAAATGCTTGCTGCACGTAACATAACTGTGAAATGCCATCCTGAGTCGCAGCAAATGCAGCAGAGCTCAATTGAGGGGCTCAGCCACACTCCCAAAGCTGAAGGAGGGTGTCCTGCAGGAGATAAGTGACCAGAGCCTTCCCAGAGTGAGGAGTTGTGATGGAGCAGGGTGTTAGCCACCCTTGGTCAGGCCGGTGAGGAGAGCCATTCCATGCATGAGCCCCTGGAGGTGCAACAGCTACCTGCTGTCCCCAGGTTTGCCTGCTGACACCTGAGGATGTAGGGTTGCCTATACTGATCTGACAGATGCTTTAATGTACAGAGACTACACAAACCTTGAAACCATCAACATGCAAAGGGAAAGTCAAAACAGAGTAGCAGTGTCCTGATTCCAAGTTGAGGTGCTTGGTTTGAAGCCCTTGTCCCTCCCTGCTCAGTGTGACCAGCCAGCTGTGCTCTGCCTGCTTCTGTGGTGCCATGGGACTGAGCACTGGGGCTTAACCTCTGCTCTCTGCCCTGCCAGGCAGGCTGTTGACTCCTGCTCTTCCCTGCCTGCGTGGAGAGCAGGAGGAGCTGTGTCCTCTCCCCTTGCTGTCCTGGCTGGCAGTGAGCTGTGTTGGCCCCCTCCTGTTGCTTCCTGCAAGCTTTGTGATGGTAACTGCCCAGCTTCAAGCCAAGCTTGCTTCCCAAATGCCATGTGGGGTGGATGCCAACTCCTGTCCTCTGTCCTGCCCCTCTCACACCTGCAGATCTCTCCTTCTGCCCTTCCACAGGTGAGCTGTTGTTGGGCTGAAGCTCCAGAGGGGTAGGGAGAAGCACATTGTTGAGCTGAAGCTCTAGAGGGGTAGGGAGAAGCACATTGGGGTTCAGGACAGGACCAGGAGGAGCACTGAAATGTTCTTCCAAGGACCTCCAGAGCCAAGCTGCTTCTTCACTGGGAAGGTTGTGCTTGCTGGTGTTTTCCAGGAGTTGGTGGTGGTGCCCACACCTACAGGGCAGTGCTGTGCTCCTCAGTGGCCCAGGACAGAAGTGTCTCCCTGCCCCTTGTGTGTGTAGGGTGGTGGTCAAGGCTGAATTGTCCCTGGAAGGGGAGGACCAGGAAAAATCAACCCCTCTGGCCTGGCTGAGGTGGTTGAGGGAGGTGAAACTTTAACTGCAGTTTCTTCCAGGGTGGTCACTGGTGACTGTGTGGGGACCCTGAGTGTGAGGGTGAGACACGCAAACTTTATGATGCAAAGCTGAGGAGAAAAGTCCACTTTTCTGGAGGGTATTAAGGAGGTCTCCAGCTACATCTTTTCCTTCTGGGTTCTTAGTTCCTGCCCTCCAGTTACTGGTTTCTAAACAAGTTGTCTGGCCTCATCCTAAGACCTGAGGAGCTCCCTGTGTAGGTAGAGCTCCCTGTCCAAGGGTGGTGATGGGCTTCAAGCCTTAGGGAGCCCCCTTAGTGCAGCCCCTCCAGGCTGTTTTCTCTTTTCCAAAGAGGCTGCTGGGCAGTCCCAGCCGCTCCTGGCTGTGCTGAGCCAGTGCTGACCCTGCAGGGGCATGTCCTGGCACAGGATATGTTACCAATAAAATTTACTGGGGTTAAACATTACTCGTGCTGGCAGCTCTGGGCTGGAGCCCTGTCCATTGTAGAGCTGAGGGTGGAGCACAGCAGGGAGATGACTTTTGCTCACAAACTGGGCTGAAAGCTGTGCCCTTGGTCCCGTGTGCTGAGCCCTCTGCCCTCGCTGGGAGGGGCTGGCTCACTCCTGTGGTGGCCTTATGGGTCACGGTGCTTCCTCCTGCTGGACTGGTGCTGCCTGCAGGGCATCCATGGGGATGGCCAGAGCTGCAGCAGCTCCACAGTGATCAGCCTTGAGGATGTAGCTAAACCAAGGTCTTGTCACAAGAGATTTCAACCTGAAGGGCTCATCTTCTTGCAGAGCTGAGTTCAGCAGCGGGGAGAGGAGGAGGCCTGGCCTGGCCTCCTGAAGAGCTGCCCCGAGGGCTGGCAGGAGGGATGAGGGGCAGGAGGTGGTGAGAGGCTGGCCTGGCCTCGGGAACCCTTGGTAAGCCACTCCCAGCTTACTGGGATGTCCGTGCCTTGGCACTGCTCCAGGCAGGCACCAGGCTGCTGCAGCTGGCACTGTAGCCTGACCCTGCCCCTCCGGGGACTCTGCTGACTTTAAGATTGTCCCATCTGCCTTCCCTCCCTCCCACCCTCTCTCAAATCCCTCCTTTGATGTCCCTAGTGAACTCCAGCCATGATGCCAGCGCAGGCTAGCCCCGAAGCTCAGAGCTGTCCCTGGAGATGGGACGCCCTAGTGATGCCTTATTGCAGCTAGTGGAGTGGCTGTACCACAGCTCCATTCCTAGAAGTGTTAAGCATGATGGCAGCCACGTCTGGAAAGACTGGTAAGGTAACCATCTCTCCTCCAAGGTGCACTGTGGGATTTGCAAGCTTCTGCCCATCTCTGTAGCCCGTATCTCCTTGGCAACCCAGTGCATGGGCCTCACGCTACCCACCCACCAGAGCCTGGGGAATGAGATGCCAGGCCTTCTTTCTAACCCACATCTCCAACTTGGCAGCACATGACATGGCGCACACAGCATGGCACCATCTTACATCAGCTCCTCCAGCTGGGCCAGCCTCAGCCAGGCCCTGCCTGGGAGGGGAGCAGCCCGGTTGGGCTGGGGCAGACACCACCCTGCCACCCAGCCTGAAAGAAACCTGGTTTCTCCCCAACCTCGACCCTTAGAGGGCAACCAGAAATACACCTTGACCTCACTCCTGGCACACGGTGGGGGAGGTGAGTGACGTGGTAGTTGATAGCACACGACTAAATTTTAGTGGGCACCGTAGACAACAGCACTTGCCGGTCACTTTGTTCCAGAATCGCCTCCCGGGACAGACCCTGCCCTGATCGTGGGTCTAATCTCACTGCTTTCCTCTCTGGTAATGGAAATGGAGCCCAGTTCCTCCCTGGAGCTTGACTTCTCTCTTGCAAGCTGAAATCCCAGGCAGGACCCAGGTTGTGTGAGCTGTAATGGAGGGAATCGGCAGCCTTGGGAGAGAGGGGTGTGTGGTGTAGGACACTGGGAGCTTGGGAAGAGGGAAGGGATGGGACTGGTTGGCAGGGGGATGGTTGATGTGTGACTGAAGGAAATGAGCCCTGGTTCAGTTCTCCCTGCTGAGCAGACCTTTTCCTCTCTCTGTGGAAGTGATCATGAGAAGAGAAGCCACCAAAGATGAGGGGCCAGGTCTGCCTTTGCCCCTCACAGTTTTCTGAGTTATAATTTTCCCTCCTGGGAAGATGTGAAGAGCTTGACACAGGCACAGAGACCATGATACAGCTTGTCTTGCTCTGCTTGGTCCTGGTAGACAGAGCTGTCCATTGCTGGGAGGATGGAGTTGGGCTGCACTGTCTCTGAGGCGGAGCCACTGGTTTGGGGTGCCTCTAAACCAGGCTGTGAGTGGGCAGCAGGGGATGCCAAGGCTATCCATGCTTCTAGAGCTCTTTTGCAGAGATGCTTCCAGCTGTGGCAGCACCCATGGGGGCAGGACTTGCCATGGGAAGCAGGTTGGATGCAGGATTGGCTCATAAAAACATGGCCACAGGGTGTTGCTGGGGACACAGCTGATGTGTTGGAGTCCCTGGTGGGTGTTTCCAAGGCAGTCAACCAGGGCAAGGCCTGAGGGCATACAGATGCCAGTATTTTTGGGAGGGGGCTGCCCAAGGTTCCCTTGAAGCATCTCCTTCAGGAGATGGCAGAGGTGGTCTCTGGTTCTGGGGCCTGTTCCAAGTGAGTGGTGGGTGGAGGGAGCAGTCCTGCATTGTGGCTGTGTGGTTGTGCAAGAGCCTGGAAGGACCTTGGGACTTCCTGATGCTGGTTGAGGCTGATCCCATTGATGAAAGCTGAGGTTGGTCCCAACCCCCTTTCCCTTGCAGGGGAACAGCTGACAGACCCACCCTGGACTGGAGACAGGATGAATTTTCTGTCCCTAATAACTTGCTGCCTGTTGGTGCTGTCATGTAGGGACTTCCCAGGATTATTTCTCTCTGGGCAAGCTCCAGAGATGTGAAGCCTCTTGTTCAAGATGTTCATGCTTGTGGCCACTTTCTAAACTGCAGTGACAGTGGTGGCACAGCTGGCCAAGCAGCCCCCAGCCAGCAGTTCCCTCCTGGGCAGGGAGAAGCAGGCAGGAGATGCTCTGAGCAGCTGTCCTCATAACTGGTGGGTGAAAGGGACTGCTGTGCCTTCACAAGAGACTTGTGGCCAGCAGTGGCTCTCCCTGGCTGGCTGAACACAAAAGAAAACAACACAACTTGCTGTAAAAAGGGAAATGCTTGTTTGCTGCAGTCTCAGAGAGGGGTGTGTCTCCCTGAGCCATAGGGGTGCAAGGTGTTGGACTGATGGATGCACACCTGTTAAAATGTTCCTGAGAGGATGGATCAGTGCCTGCCTTGTCCCTGATGCTCCTTGCCCTGCTGTGGGATGATGTGCTGATCTTCCAGCTCTCCCTTACCTGAGATGCACGGGCTGGATCCCACTGCATCTGGTGTTCCTGGTGCTGGGCTGAGCTGCTCTGGTCCCACATCTCATTGTGCCCCCACACCAGCCCCTGAGGGACCTTCCAGCAGGTGCCAGGGTGCAGTGCCCGCTCTGGGGTGGGTGTGGATCTCTCCAGGCTGAGCATCTCACCAGCACCACTGAGGGTTTGCTCTGCACTTCAGCACCTTGGCAGGGAGATGCAGCTCTTGGATGTGTTGGTTGGATCCTCCCAGCTCCCAGGAACACAGGGAGTGATCTCTGGAGACCATTCCAGCTGTAGAGATAGGTCAGAGCTCTGAGATGCTGGGGCTGGCTGCAGACCTAGAGGTAACTAAAGAGGAAAGGCAGGTCCTCCAAGCCAAAGGTGCCCTGAGGAGGGTCCTGTGTGTTTGGTCCTTGCTTCCCCTCTTCTGAAGGATTTGCCCTCCCTGAGGATGGTGGACAGTTGGATACTTAAATTCTGAGGGCAATTGGGAGAGACAAAGGAGGCGTTGACAAGGAGAGTGAGGCTCTGATGGGCTGTTTCTCTGCCCCATTTATAATTTCATTGTGACTTTTAAAAGGCAGCTGCTGGTGTTGTGCTGCAGAAAGGGAGAGGTTCCTGCCTCTGGGAGGGGTGGCAGGCAGAAGCACACATTTCTCCTCTCCAGCTGTTCCTGGGACAGATGTTGAAGGCTGCTGCAGTTGGCCAGCAGTGGCTGCCTCATCCCTGTGAGCAGGAGATGTGTTGGTGGTGTGACCAGACTCCTTTCCAACTGTGAGCTAATGCCTCTCCAGAAACAACAGGGTCTCTTCCAGTAAAAGCCTCTCTTGCTCGGCTTTCCTCACCCAGTGCTGAACATCTCCATCAGTTCTCAGCTTCCTCTTTGATGGCTGTAGTGTTTGGAGGGGTGTGAAGAGAAAACTGCCTAGAGAGTCTCCTCTTGGCTATCTGCTCTCTCTGATCCACAGCTTCCAGTGTTTTCTGCTGGCTTTGGGAACCTCCCTCCTACTGAGTTCCTGCCTCGTCCCATCAAGCCCTTAATCTTTCTGTGGGCTGAGAGGCCTGGCAGGTCACTCTGTCCCCCTGCCAGCATGTCAGAGCCTTGGGTTGTACCCAGGATTGTCACATCTGTAGCAGCTCCTGCAGGGCTGGGCTGTGGGGCCATGGTGGCTCAGCTGGCTGAGGTCGGTGTGTGAGCACTGCAGCCCTGCAAGAGGAAGGCAAGGAGGGGTGGTCCACTGCAGTGATGGTTTATTAGCCATGAACTATGAGCTAATTAGCTCAGAACAGAGCTACAGTGCATGTTTTAAGAGCAAAGCAGCACTTCTGTTCAAAGTGGAGGTGCTGAGGCTCTGCAGTGGGGGGCAGAGGGTGGCTCTGAGGCAGGATGAGGGTCACCAGGCTGGGCTGGCTGTACATGGCCTGGCTGTGCTGCTTCCCCAGCCTGCCTGGGGCCGAGGCAGCTCTCAGCGTTAAGCTCTTGCAGCCTTGTGAAGGAAGGGGGAGTTTCCTGTGGGCAGGAGGAAACTGCTTCCAGCTGTCAGGGGAGGGTGTGCAGTGGGACACACTGGCCAGGGAGCACGGCTGCAGAGGAAATGTGGCTCAGCTGAGCAAGCTCCTCCTGGTGACAGGGACAAGGAACCCCTGTCCTTGCTCTGGCAGCTGCTGTGGTGGCCCTGGAAGGTGTCAGTGATGCTGCTGCCCGTGCCCAGCCCTCCTGGGTGGTGGCTGTGCACAGTGACTGGGCAGCAAAGGTCCCTCGAGGCTAAAGGAGAAGGGAAAGGACACTCTGGGTGGCACTTTGCTGCTGGCACCAGGTGGGACCCCTCTCTGGGGAGGAGGGCCTCCATGCCCTTGATTGCCATGGCTGGACTGACTGGGATGCTGTGCCATGGAGTGAGGTATGGGGCCAGCTGGGAGCTGATTTAGGGGCACCCCCTTGCCTTGTGAAGGTGTCTGGCAAGAGCCCAGCAGGTTATGGAACCATGGAACGGTTCGAGTTAGTAAAGACCTTAAACCAATCCCATTCCACCCCCATGCCATGTGCAGGGATATTAGACCAGGTTGATCAAGTCTTGTCCACACTGGCCTTGTTCTGAGCTGATGAGGGGCTCCTGTGAGGACAGAGCTGCTGCTGACTGGCAGGGCTCAGTTAGGAGCCACTCAAGGCCCATGGCTCGTGTGGCTGCAGTTCCTGGCACTGCAGCCCCAGTGCCTGTGGGGGAGAACCTGGCCACTGCAGGCAGCAGTGCAGAGGTTGTGGCAGTCTGCTGCACATCCTTGGGAGAGGAGCATCTAGCCAGGCTTGTCTGGGTGAGGGGACAGCTGTGCCAGGATGAATGGGACAAGGGGGGTGGCTCACAGGGGGCTCCAGGGGGTTTTCTGCCACTTTCTCCCCATCTTAGAACCAAGTCCATCATTGTGCTGGTTCCCAGAGCCCTGAACGTGCTGAGGCTGTGCTTCTCTCCTGGTGGCTGGGGAGGGAGGAGTGAGGGGTGGCTGCTGTGCTCCAGCAGCAGGACCAAGCTCCAAGCTGCAGTTGCTGCTCCTGCTGCTGGATCAGTGCTCAGTCAAGTGCCATGGGCTTGTCTCTGCTGCTGTCAGGCTCGGAGCTGCTGATGCAGCCCAGCTGGACACACGGGCCCTGCTGACCAGATGGGATCATCTGCATGTCCCAGGATGTGGGGCTGGGTGTTGCCAGCTCACTGTGTCTCCTAAGGGGCTGGAAAGTGTCTGTTCAGCTACTGTCCCTTGTTTGTTTGTTTGTTTGTTAGGTCCCCATCCAGCCATTTCCTTGGCAAGGAGCAGATCTGAGAAACAGAGGTGGCAGCAAGCACCTGCCTCCAAGGCTTCCAAAGGAAGCCTCCAAGTCTTGATGGTTTGCAGCTCTTCCAAGTTCTTCCCATGCTGTGGTTTGCCTGGAGCCACTCCTGGTAGCAGAGTTGGGGCTTGGAAAACTCCATGGGCATCTGCTGTAGTAGATGAGCCACTTCTTCCCCCTTCATGTCCTTTAGAGGTTGTCTGGTTTTAATGTGTGCTCTTGAGATCCTCCTTTGGCTGGCTGAGGGTGGAGCTACTCAAGGAGTATTTGGAGCTCACCCTGGAGCCTCCTTTCCCGTGCTGGAGACATCTTTGCTCCATGGACCTTGCACCTGGCTTGGAGGAGCTGAAGGTTTGTGCTCTGGCTGAGGTGATCCTGGATCATGGACCTCTGCCGTGGCTTTCTTTTCCAGATGCGCTGGTACCCTCCCTCTGAAGCTACCCAGCAAGGATGGAAGTCTCGTCAGTTTTGTTAGTTCATTAGTAAGTAATTAATTACTCTTGGAGTCAGGTCTTTGTCTTGCTCTTCCTTGGGCTCTTGGGGGGAGGAGGGATGGGAGCTTGGGCTCAGCCCCAACACCCACCCAGGGATGTGGTTGGGTTTCCTGGACGGGAGCAGGGAGACCCCCAGGCCCTGGGCTGGGTGGAGGCTGTGGGGGACCCTCAGGACACGGCTCCAGCTGGCCCTGCTCACCGTGCTCCTCTCCCACAGTGTCTCTCCTGGGCTTGTGTTCCTCCTCCCTGCCTCTCCACAGCGGGATGTGCCAGGGACGATCGCTCCCCTCCTCTGGATTGGGTACGTGGCCAGAGGACAACGCGTCCGCCCTGCCGCGCTGCCCCTGGGGCTGCCAGCACCCTTTCCCTGGACTGTGAAGCCATCGTGGCCCCAGCCACGGGCTGTGTGCTGCCTCCATCCCTCCCTCCATCCACTCCCAGGACCTCCTCCCTGCCTGAGCTTTGCCATCCGGCTGCACTGAAACCCAGCCGGGGCCAGGTCCTGGGCGTCCCCAGCTCCCCCTGCCCCGGGGGCAGCTCGGCTGAAGGAATCGAAAGGCAAAAATGGGTTTTGCATGTTTTCTGGCATGAATTAAAACACTTAACTTGTGTCTGTGTGAGTGTAAGTTTGTTTGTTCTAGCGTTTGTGTAACCGTTAGCAACAGGTCTTGGCCCAACGGATTGATCCATCAAGGTTTTCCTCTTGCTTCGGTGAAGACTTGGCTTTGAGAAATACTAACTGTCCTTGTCTCACCCCTTCTCCCACCTCCACCCTCCCCTCCCCAGGATGACCAGAAAAATTTGAAAAATGCTTTTTTTTTTTTTTTTTAAGTATGATGCACTGGGTTTTTGTTCTCATCCATTCTGCTTGTTTTAAAGTCAGGGTTATTATATTATTTTTTTCCTCCTTCAAACTTCTATATATAGAACAGCTGTAAAATATCTAACCTCTTTTTTTTTTTTTTTCCCCCCCACATTCTTCTGATTGGAGAGCATCCAGTCTTGCCAAATAATCAGCCATCCTTATGGGAATACCGAACAAAAAAAAAAAGAAGTACGAGTATTTTTGTACCATGTGTAATAAGGAAATATTTATGCATCATAAAGAATTTCTTGTGTGTTTGTGTGCAATTAATTATTATTATTATTATTAAAGAGAAATTGTAATCCTGTAAGATAAGTTAATGTTTAGTTAAAAGCTTGAAAAAGAAGGGTTGTCTTCTGTACCAATGATTCAGTCAGGCATAGTAAACAAGAAATTGTGCAATTTTTGTTTTAGCATCTTATTGCTTGGTATTGAAGTGCTTTAAGTATTATCTGACCATGGCTGTCTCGCTTGTATTAAAAGATTTGAGAATAAGTTGCTCTATAATTGCTGATCCTATGAGAATGTGAAACTGGATAATATATGAAATGCAACCAAAAAAAAAATATATATACCCAGAGGCTGCTGTGACTTTTTCTGTGGTCTTGGGTGTTTTCTTGTGGGAATGGTGTGGGATGCTGCAGGCCTGGCCTGGCCCCGTTTCCCAGGCTGGGAGGATGCGGGCTGCTTTGGGATGCAGCTGAGGATGAGGAGCTGGCTCTTCCCCACCCCTGGGAGCAGGGCAAGCCCTGGCCTGGCTGGGGCTGTGCTGTGGGGGGTTGTGGTGTGAAACTGCTGGAGGCCTCTGCGAGGACAGCCCTGAGCTCTTTTGGATGTTTTTGTTCCCCCTTCCCAGCGGCTGTGAGGCTGAGGCCTCTCCTCCGTGCCAGCAGAGCAGGAGATCTCCATAGAAGGCAAACGCTCTCCATGGCTGGAGCATTCCCCGTGCACCCGCCCAGCTCCTGCTCTGCTGCCTGTGCTGCCCGACCTTCTGTGGCCTTATTGTACCTGCTGGAATGGCAGCCCTGGGCCAGGGCCTGCTTGTCCCGCTGGGAATCTCCTTGTGGGAGACAGGGGCTGCTTGTCCCCGTGGGAATCTCCTTGTAGGAGCCAGGGCTTGCTTGTCACGGGGAGAATCTCCATGCAGGGGTTGGGGGCTGCTTGTCCCTATGGGAATGGCAGTCCTGGGCCCAGGCCTGCTTGTCCCGCTGGGAATCTCCTTGTAGGAGCTGGGGCCTGCTTGTCCCGCTAGGAATGGCAGTCCTGGGCCCGGGGCTGCCTGTCCTGCTGGGAATCTCCTTGTAGGAGCCGGGGGCTGCTTGTCCCGGTGGGAATATCTATGTAGGAACTGGAGCGTGCTTGTCCTGGTGGGAATCTCTGTGCAGGGGCCAGGGGCTGTTTGTCCCGGTGGGAATCTCCTTGTAGGAGCCAGGGGCTGCTTGTCCCAGTGGGAATGGCAGTCCTGGGCCTGGGGCTGCTTGTCCCGCTGGGAATCTCCTTGTGGGAGACAGGGGCTGCTTGTCCCTGTGGGAATCTCCTTGTAGGAGCCAGGGCTTGCTTGTCACGGGGAGAATCTCCATGCAGGAGCCTGGGGCCTGCTTGTCCCGGTGGGAATAGCAGTCCTGGACTAGGGGGGCTGCTTGTCCCAGTGGGGATCTCCTTGTAGGAGTCAGGGGCTGCTTGTCCCAGTAGGAATCTCCATGTGAGGGCCAGGGGCTGCTTGTCCCAGTGGGAATCTCTGTGTAGGGATTGAGGGCTGCTTGTCCCCATGGAAATGGCAGTCCTGGGTCCAGGGCTGCTTGTCCCGCTAGGAATCTCCATGTGAGGGCCAGGGGCTGCTTGTCCTGGTGGGAATCTCCGTGCAGGGGTTGGGGGCTGCTTGTCCCCATGGAAATGGCAGTCCTGGGCCCGGGGCTGCCTGTCCCGCTGGGAATCTCCGTGCGGGGCCCGGGGCTCTCCCTGCGGTGCCCCAGCGTCCCCATGGCCTGGCGGGCTGACCCCTGTGTGGGGCACTCCGGAGCCTCCCACGCAGCTTCCCGCCCCAGGGATCAGTGTTTTCCTCCCTCCCCAGGCCTTCGAGGGCAGCGCTGAACGAAAGCAAGGAAAAAAAAAAAAAAAAAAAAAAAAAAAAAAAAAAAAAAAGGCAAAAGAAAAAAGGCAGGTCTAAAAATAGGCGGCCTGGCCCCCGTGCCTGGGAATGGAGCGGAGCGAGCGCTGCTGCTCCGGGAAGTGACTCGCTGTGGGGCTGCCCGCACACAGCAGGCTGCCAGCCCCTTCCCATGGGATCCCCCGCCCGCAGCCCGAGCTTTGGAGCTCTGCCTTCATCCCGGCTCCCAAGCCCATCCCAGCTCCGGCGAGCCGGCCCTTCCCTGCGGCCTCCATCCGCATCCCTGCTCACCTGAGCGGAAACACTCCGGGAGCAGCGGGCCATGGTGACGGCAGCGTGCAAGGCTTTAAATTATACAGCAGACTTTATCCTGTTCGGGTGGTTTTTTTCTTTTTTTTTTTTTTTAAAGCCTTTAGCACATGCATTAACATGGCCAGGCCATGAATAATTGACGCCCGGCTCTACGAAGCTTTTACACGGGGACTCGCCTCGGAGCTAAAGTAGGTCACGTCTGCTCCGAGGGTCCCCGGGCACCCCTTCCCCGGCTGCGGACACACGTGTGCCCTGCCCCCGGCTGCTCCCGATGGGGTCCTGCTCGGACACACCCTCTGCGAGGGGATCTGGGGACACGGGATGTCCCCAAAATGTCCCCATCGCCAGACAGGATGGAGCTCGAGGTGCAGGGATGCTCTGTTGGCATCACCAGGGAAAGGGTGCAGGTCTATGCACCTTTGGTCCTTGTGCTGCCTGGGGGTGTCAGCCCATAGCCAAAGGACAAACCTGCCAGGGAATAGAGATGATGACACTGAGGCTGGAAAAATATAGGGGGGAAAAGCTGCTTTTGTCATGCTTTTGTTTTACACTTTACTGGAAGCTCCTCTTTTCCTTGTTTTGAAGATAAATCTTGGAGCTTTTGGACTCTCTTCTCCTGAGCATGCTGCACTCTGCCACAGTGTGTGGTCTGGGCACTGAGGCAAAGAACACTTTGGGAATAGAAAATCCATCTGCTGGGATGCAAAAGGGCCTCTCAGCAGGCTGTGCTGGATCAGCTGCTCCCGTTGGAGGTGATCAGAGCCAGCCAGGGGGGGCAGATCCAAAACTCTGTCCCTGCTGCACCCAGAGAGGTAGGAAAGGGTTCAGATCATCTCACAGCAGTGCTCATCCAGGGATGTGCTGCTCACAGGAGCTCTGGGGCAGGGCCATCCCACAGCTCTGCTGCTCCCCTCATGCCCCACACTCCTCTGCTGATGGTTGAAGATCCCCAGATGCAGCTCAGTCATGTCAGTGCTTTTCACCCATTTCTCTGGAAAATGTGACGAAGAACAACTCAAAGGGTTTTGTAAAGGATCAAACCCCAGCAATTCCCATCTGCTGGTCTGTGCCAGCCCTGCTGCCACTGTCCCCTTCCCTGTCCTCTCCCACGCCGAAACCTGTCATGGCTAGAGATCATTGCGGACATCACTGCTGACCTGCTGCTGTTTGTCCATCAGCAGAGAACAATGGCCACAGCTGTGGGGAAAGGTCTCAGAGAGCCCCAGCTCCATCCTGCAGCAGGATTTAGCAGCTACTGCTCCCTGCTGACTGCCATGGATCATGGAATCACAGCATTTTTAAGGCTGGAAAAGCCCTCTAAGACCATTCCCCAGCACTGCCACCACTAAACCAACATTCCCAATCACCACAGGTTTGAATGGTTCAAGGGAGGATCACTCCACTGCTCCCTGGGCAGCCCCTTACAATGCCTGATCACCCCTTCAGGAAACAAACTTTCCCCAACAACTTGGGGTGTTTTCCTCTCATCCTGTCCCTCGTTCCCTGGGAGCAGAGCCCAGCTTCCCCCCATCTGCCCCCTCCTGTCAGGGAGTTATGCAGAGCCAGGAGGTCCCTCCTGAGTCTCCTTTTCTCAGGATGAGCCCTCCCAGCTCTCTCAGCTGCTCCTGGTGCTGCAGCCCCTTCCCCAGCTCAGTTCCCTTCCCTGGATGTGCTCCAGCCCCTCGATGTCAGGAGGGGCCCAAAGCTGAGCACAGGATCTGAGCTGTGGCAAGCAGCTGCATCTCATGGAAGGTTGCTGGGATTCCCAGGCAAACGTGCGTTGTCCACCCCTGTGAGGGTGAGGAGCAGATCTCCTGTGGTCAGGGAGCATCACACATCCGTGGGGCAGATTAAATGACTGTCTGAGATGTGCAATGATGGATGAGCTCGGGAGCACCTCTGGGAGAGGCAGGTTGGGCTGGCAGCTGTACAAGCAAGCTCAGCCAGGCCTGAAATATCCCCGGGAGGGCAGGAGGAGGCAGGGAATGATGGACACCAAGCAGGGAGGAGACAGCGTTG